TATTGGATGCACGTGATCTGGGCTGTGTTTATCTGGGGGGAAACTACTACTGCATCGTAATTCATTATAATGCAATCTAATACAGCCCAAACTCTAAATTTTTTTGGGCAATTCTAAACAATTCTAAACAATTTTAATCAATTCCGAATTTTGCTAATCATATTTGATGACGATTTGCTTCGGAAATCGCAACAACAGGATCATTTGATATCTCGAAGGAATGCACATTGAAGATTTTCACTTAAAAAACTCATAGGACTTTGTGAGATCTACCTCTTACACTGATTCCCATTTCAACTTAGTCTTCCACTTTGAAAATATTCCATGTATCATAATAAGGCTACAGAGACCTTTTGAAGTGGAAGTTTGAATTAGAAGTGAATCCTGTGCATGAACTGTATCTGACTAAGACCAATGTGCTCTGGAAGTTATGCATCTTTTTGAAGTGCTGTTTTTGCAATTTTGAAGCGAATCACCATCAAATTCAACTTGGAAAATTCGGAATTGATTAGAATTGTTCAGAATTGCACAGAATTGTTTGGAATTTGTGTTGTATTAGATTGCATTATAATGAATTACGATGCAGTAGTAGTTTCCCCCTTGATCTGTGTCTACTTTGATTCTAAATGCAATGAATGTACAGTACACCCGCAGTTTCACTGTTATTTTTTCTTAAAATACAACGGATTTTCCTTGAAAACTCGAGTTGAGTTTTCGTTTATTTGGCCCGGTTTCTTCGCTAGATTATATGGAAAATGCCTTCATACATCAAATGGTGCTTTGTATATGGAATGGTGAGAATGAAATTTAAAAATGAAATGGAGCTTAAATCTTACCTTTTGTTAGTGCTCCCTTTACTTTGGTACCAGCTCCGGAAGTGTTTGGCCTACCTTCAATTTGCTTCACGTTGAAAATTAAGAACGAATAAAGGAGAATTTGTTTAATAAAATATCGGGTAGAAAATACCTTACAAGAGTTTTTTTATAAATGACATGATCAAATTTCGGGATAATGAATCGCGTAATATATTTGTTTTGATTTTCCTTCGTTTTCGAAAAGTCAATTTGTATGAAAAATGAAAAAAAAATGCTCTTCATGTCATCAATCGACCCCAAAAAAAAAATACATAAAAAATGTTAAGTTACCATGAATTGGTCTCCCAAAACCGCAACCAGAATCGAACAAACTAAACGGAGGGGAAATATCGATTAAAACAAACCAGAATCGAACAAACTAAACGGAGGGGAAATATCGATTAAAACAAAATGTTTGACTGAAATCTCAAGTATTGTCATAAATAAAAATTAGAAACAAATCAAGGAAAAAAGAACTAAGAAGAGACTCACTCATCAATTGCTTAGACATGTTTCTAGTCGAATCACTTGAACAATAACTAAATTACCACGAATTCGGTGCCTCATTTATAGTCAAAAATTACACTGCAACATTTTTGAGTGTAAAGACTAATATTGAGTTGTGGCAATATAGAGGTTTCAACTATTTTAAGATGAATTTACACCAAAATTTGGGTAAAATGAGTTATTTATATGCGTATCTATGGGTGAGATTGAGAGTGGAGTATGTTTTTTCTTCGATTTATATTTTTGAAAAGGCGAGTATGTTTTCTGATGATTCTGTTGGCGTTAAAGTAGAGTATGTTGTAGTACCGTCTAGCCTCCGCGGTCTTCATGGTTTTCGCGCAACTGATAAAAGATAACAACATGGTGTCTCCGGCAAAGTTGTAGTACTCGAGGTCTTCTATAACTAAGCTGAAGACAGTTATCTCTTATCTCTTATCAGTTGCGCGCAAATCGCGCACAAAAAAAGCAAATTTTATATAAAACTTTTTTTTTCTTATCATTTTTCGCGCTTTTCGCGGAACTGATAAGAGATAAGAGATAACTGTCTTCAGCGATGTTATAGAAGACCTCCAGTGCTACAACTTTGCCGAAGACACCAAGTTGTTATCTCTTATCAGTTCCGCGGAAACCGTGAAGAACCGCGAGGACCCGCTAAAAACGAACATACTCGCTTTTAACCATTTTTAAGTCGACAGAAACTTGCTCTTCTCTTTCGTAACAAAGTCGATCAAACATACACTACTCTCAATCTCACCCATAGGTATGTCCAAACGACTACTGTTCATATACGCGCTAATACGTTGGCACGCACTGGTGCCGAGTCTGTGAATTTGTATGTATTGTATAAGTTGTTGAGTGCAAAATTTACAATACATGTAAATACACAGACTCGGTGCCAGTGCGTGCCTATGTATTGGCGCGTATATGAACAGTAGCCGTTTGGACATACGCATAGAAAATAACTCATTTTACCAAAATTTTGGTGTAAATTCATCTTAAAATAGTTGAAACCTCTATATTGCCACAACTCAATATTAGTCTTTACACTCAAAAATGTTGCAGTGTAGATGTTGTAAACGTGTCATCATTATTACACACGTAGGAAAACAAAATTCCTTGCGATTGAATTCTAAAACCAAATATTAAAAAAATTCTTCTTGAAAGATATTTAAAATTCTTCTTGAATTTATATTATGTCTATTTGCCTATTTTTCGATATTTGGAATGCACAAATGCAGATGTTTATTTCAGTGAATGAACTCGTGATGGAAAATATGGAAACCATGAGAAAAATAAATGTAAAATATTCTGATAGATAATAAGTTGTTTTCGAAATCAGCCAGCGCATGCATGCACCGCATTCAAGCGCTAATTCTAGCTTTTATGTCTATTTGCCTATTTTTTGAAGGTTCGAATGCACAGGTGCAGATATTTGTATAAAATAAACTCAATATTCACCTGGAATTTTTCATAACTAAAAACAACAAGCTTCAATGAAAATTTGTTGGCACGTTTGCATGGCAAGGTACTTGCTAGATTACAGCCTGATATTAGCAAATTTTCACTACATTACACCTTGAAGACTTTCAAGGTGTAATCTAGCAATTTTTTGCTATTTTGCACTTTACACCCTGATAAGGTGCAATGTAGCATTTTTTTGCTAGATTGCACCTTGAAAGTCTAATTTCAATTTATGTTATCACTGCGCATTATAAAAGTGATAAAGTAACGGTAATATTGTTTATTTGACTGAATTTCTTGTTGAAATGACCATTCAAACCGCTGCTATTAAACAATATCGACCTTACGTCATGTGATGATTTGATATGAACACATAATAAAGCAAAGCGTTTGTTAATCAATGCTTCATTTATTGAAACACTGCCCATGTTCATTCGTCAATATTTTCCAGCAATTCTGAATGGATATATTTGACTTTTATGAAGAATGGACATTTTTTAAACACAACAACAAGTAAAAAAACTTCAAATGCAATTTTTAAGCCATATATTGTAAATAGTGCATAGAAAGTCGGCCATTCCACACGAAATCAGGAGAGATGTTGCAATGTGAGGTCGCCGAATTAGCTGAAAATTGGCTTGGAGTCTTGTTTCCGATAGAAAAAGAGAAAACCAAAATCTCAGGCTTAAAAGTGGCCCGCCTTTCTGAGTTAACCCAGTGTGAATTTTTGGAAAAACTGAAAAAATCGAAAAAAAGGGTTTGCGCCAACTAAACTCTAACTGTGAAGTAGTTGACACATTGCCAAACCTATGGTACCGTTGGAAAGGAAATCGATGGGGCTACAAAATCCGCCTAGTAACTTATACTCTATGGCCTTATTGGAACCTCCAAAAATTGGTTCAAAGTATAAAATGTTAAATATCTCAAAATAGTGGGGTTTTTTGGCATGTTTTTTTGCGTCAAAAGATAGCCCATGTTACGCCGGGGTGTTTGATTGTTCACAGGCCCCCATTATTTTCGAAAATAAATAGGAGTTTTCTAACGTAAAATTATCGAATTACGCAAATTTAAGATACCTCCCATACAAAATGACCGTTTTTCAGAACAATTTCTACATAAAACGCTGAATTGAGCCCAAATGGTAAGCAAATTGATATATTTTCATTTGTTTCGCTGGAAAATAAGAGCCATTCACGATTGAATGCAGAATAGGGAATTTTTGAAGCAAAACAAGTGTTTTTATTGCGAGTTGAAAACATCCTCTGAAGCAGGGTCATTTTTCGACCTTTTAGACCCATCAGACAGGATTGAGATGAGTCTCAATCGATTTTCCGTCAAAAATTACGTGGACATAGAATCATGACAGCCCATTATAGGTGGGTTTTCTATGCCACAAATGTGATTTCGTAAGCAGATTTCGACCATTCGTTTGTTCTATGAAGAAAAGTCAGTTTCGGACCAAATTTATAGGTAAACCGATGTAGAAAAGGTCGTTTTTTCATGTATTTTGACGAAAAAATAGCAATTTTCTCATATCAAAATGTCGTAAGAGGCCATTTTCGGCCATTTTTCCCACAAAAACGCTGAAAAATGACATATGATTCACCTGCCGAGGCCAAATACAAAAAATTGAATGGTTGTTACACGGAATTTTATTTTCCCATCTGAAGCGGCGTAACATGGGCTATCTTTTGACGGCCAAAAAAACCCCACTATTTTGAGATATTTAACATTTTATACTTTGAACCCATTTTTGGAGGTTCCAATGGGGCCATAGAGTATAGGTTACTAGGCGGATTTTGTAGCCCCATCGATTCCCTTTCCAACGGTACCATAGGTTTGGCAATGTGTCAACTACTTCACAGTTAGATTTTAGTTGGCGCAAACCCTTTTTTTCGATTTTTTCAGTTTTTCCAAAAATTCACACTGGGTGAACTCAGACATGTGGGTCACTTACAGGCCTGAGATTTTGGTTTTCTCTTTTTCTATCGGAAACAAGACTCCAAGCCAATTTTCAGCCAATTCGGCGACCTCACATTACAACTCTTCCCTGACTTTGTGTGGAATGGCCGAAGTAGATTATACACATTTAAAAACAAGGTATGAGTTTAGTTTTGTGACTTTTTTGCTTCTTGGCTGGCAATTCAATCTGCTCTAGCTCCTCAATTGCAGTTCGTTTCAAACCAACTCGCCCGGAACCGTCCAATATTTGCGGGTCAATCGAGGAAGTTTTTCGACGGCTTTGCATTTTTCCACCAAAAATTAATTTTATCTCTTTTTTAAAAAATTGAAAACGTTTGAAAACCAAAAAAAGTATAATATACCTTTTGTATTGGTGTCAGCATTCGCTTCTGTTGCTACAGATGTATTCAAGCGTTGAGACCGTCGCCCGGGTATGACTGAAATGTTTTGGAGATTGTAAAAATGTCACTCTTAACAAAAAAAAAACAGAACAATCGGATTCATTTTTATTCAATTGAAAAAAAAATGAGAGAGAATTCAAAACAAATTTTTTTTGTATTGTACCGTTTGTTTTGGTGTCAGCATTTCTTTCTGTTATTGTCTCCAATCGTTCAGACCGTCGTACAGGCATCACTGAAATGTATTGATGGTTGCAAAAATTTCACAAGCAAAAAATTCGAATACATAAGGATTGACATCATAAAATGATTTCAAACAATTTTTCATGTTTATTCCTACCTTGTCGCACGTTCTTGTCGAAGCTTGGGTTGCTCGTTTCATCTCCTGTTACTGTTTCTGTCGTTGTTGAATTCAATTGTTCAGGCTGACATGCAAGTACTGGAACTAAAATGGTTATTAGAACTTGTTCTCAAATAAATGTCATGATGTTCAATAAAAAAATATTATTACCTTCCGATAACGGGACTGGAGCAGAACGAACGATTTTATTTGCGTTCGCATTCGCATTTCTTGTTGTGTCATCATCTACATCGTCTGGTGTCGTCACTGCTAAAATCAAACAATTGTGGAAGGTCAGTTTAATAACGATATCAAATAACAGTTTATACTAAAACATGAACGATTGCAAGCTACCTTCCAATGAACGATCTGAATCCGAAGAAACACTATCGTTTGCATTCGCATTTGCAGTTGTTCCATCGTCTGCAGAAATAAATAAACAAATTAATACAGTGAAATCAAAGGGCCGATTTTTATGCTTCATTTTCTGTTCCGATTGTTGCCGGTGTTGTGTTCATAATTTGCGAACGACGTTGAATCACTGCTAAAATGAAACCATTGTGAAAGGTCAGTTTAATAACGATATCAAACAACAGTTCACACTAAAACATGAACGACAGCGAATTACCTTCCAATGAACGATCTGGACCCGAAGGAACACTATCGTTTGCATTCACGTCTGTATTTGTGCCATCTGTGGAAATGAACAAAAATAAAAAGAATTATGGTTAGAATTATGATTGGTAATCCCGAACTTTTCCGTACCGTTGGCCTGCGTTGTCCGTAGGTACTTTTGGTTATTTTTTGTGAATTTTCTTGAAATAAAGGCAGTGAAAATATAATAATAAAAATAAAGTGAAAAATCGGTCACTTTAACTAAAAAATCAAACTTTTGCAAATGCGATCAATATGAAACTTTCAGAATCTTATTATTTCTCCAAAACATGAAATCCCAGAGAATTTGAAGCCAATCGGAGTCGATTTACGGGTACCTCCCATACAAAAGTGTCAATTTTTTGAGGTTTTTCTTAGGGCAAGTACTCCAGGATCAAATCGAAAATGGCTCATCTTCGAACCTAAACTAAGTTTTTTGAATACAAAACTTTTGGCATTTCCAGATTTTGATTATCTCAATTATTTTTTGAGTTATCGTGTTAACAAACACCAACACCAACGACGACAACAACGACGACGACGACAACGACAACGACAACGACGACGACGACGGCACACGAACGGAAAAGTGTCTCAAAAAGTGGTTTTCTACGCGTTTCATGAGTTTTTATGATGATCTAAACCAATTTTGCGAAAAAAGTTTTCGGGACCAATTCCTATACTTTCCCTTGACACTGTGTGTACGGAAAAGTAATAACGAATAACTTTTTTGAAAGAAAAAGAGAGACAATTGTTTTACCTTGACGGTCTTCTGTCTCGAAAACAAAATTCGGTCGTTGGTTATTTTCGACAGCACGTCGAAAAACCTCCAATATTTCAAGCCACTCATCGAACTCCTTTTGCGATTTTTCAGCCAAAACTTCACAAATTTTCTTCGTTTCAATTGAAGCCTTGTTGAATTTTTCGGTCGATGTCAAATTTCGCTTGCGTTTTTCAGTATCCCCCGTCACCACGTCCGCTGTCGTTGGCTTTGAAGTTGCATAAGCAAATTCGCTCATGAATTGAGCTCGTTCACGTAACCAATGTTGACTACACAATGATGATTTGTAAGGGGATTCTTTGTAGTGATTTAAAAATGCAATGATGTGTGCGCAAGGAAGATTCATTATTCGAAAAAATGTGCAAGAACATTCTTCTTCTGAAACGGTAATGTCCACTCCGTTTTGAACACATTCCGCATCAAGAAGACCAATTCGTGTAAACTGCACTTGATCTGCTTTCATGGATTGCAGCTTATATTTGTCGAACGCGTACTTTGTCGGCAGTTTAGCGTATTGGTTGTCATAATCTCACGGCTGTAGCCAGCACAAATTTCTTGGATGAGCGGAGAGAATTTTTGGGTGAGCGCAGCAAAATTTGATGATTATGAAAATGTCATTAATTTTGAAAATCGATTCTGTCTAGTGTAAAAGCCACAAATAATCAAATAATGTATAAAATGTGATTTTATAGAGATCCCAGCCCCTTGGAATTTTATTCCTTTTATTCCAAAAACGCTTCATTCACAGATTCACACTATATCACGGTGAAACACGTGATTTGTAATTTCTAGCGAATCGTCAGGATTCTTAATCCCATCAGATTCAATTTAGTGTCTGTAATAATTTGAAATTGTTATTCGTATTGTATTGCTTGAACTTTATAATATGCCACGTCAGAACTAACATATCAATTTAAGACAACGGCTTACACTGTGTTGATGTTGTCAATTTGATGCAGAAATTTTTCTTGAAAAACCAATACACACCACAGCCATTGTAAATTAGTTATTATCAATAGGAAAATAACTCAAACGATTCGCTAGAAATTACGTATCTACAGAAATATAGATTTTCAGTATTCAGTTAGAAAATCGTACTATAATTAGAGAAATTAGGACATTTTTCAATATAGTTGACCAATTACTTTTGCATTGATGTGGTCAAAATGTTTTCACTTTAATCATCATATTTGGCTTCAGTTATGTTGGTTAAGTGTAAGAAAAATATAATTTGTGTAATTTTGAAATGAAAAAAAATTATTTGCGAGCGGAGGGAGCAAAATTTTTCAGAGGATTCTTAATTACAGCGAAAACTATAGCTAAAATAATTTTGGGAGTCGAGCATTTTTAGGTGAGCTCAAATAATTTTTGGGACCCAAGCGTATGGCTGAATACGGCCGTGCATAATCTGTGTAAAGGTGTCAACGGACAAGCACCTTGTCCGTCCGTCCGTCCGTTCAGGGCTCTTGAAAATTTTCTTGTCCGTCCCTCTGTCCGTTCAGCTCCGGTCGGACGGACGGACGGACAAGAAAATTTCCGAGGGTCCTGAACGGTACAGATTTACAGGCAATAACATATTATTGACTATACTTAATAACATAATAATAACGGCCTATATATTGGTCCAACATAACATAATAATAACATTATTAAGATTCACGACAAACCAGTGACTTCGGCGCGTTCCTTTTCGAATTTTGCCTTCGCTTCTTTCAGCTCGGCTTCTTTTTTCGATAGGTTTTCCGACAAACTAGTGACTTCGGCGCGTTCCTTTTCGAATTTTGCCTTCGCTTCTTTCAGCTCGGCATCACTTGCAGCCAATTTTGACGATAAACCAGCGCCTTCGGTCTGTGCTTCTTTCAGCTCGGCATCCTTTTCCCCCAATTTTGACGACAAACTTTTGACTTCGTTCTGTGCATCTTTCAGCTCGGCTTGAATTTGCACCAATTTGTGCGACAAACGTTCGAATTTAGCGCGTTCTTCTTCGAGTTCAGCGTTGGACGATTGCGATGGCACAGACTGTGTCTGTGCAGCAAGGCTTTTTCGAGCGGCTCGCATCAAATTATTGGAAATTGACGCCACGTTAACCTTCGGTTTGGTCGTTTTTTCTTTAACGTATTCGGCAAATTTAATCGTGCTCTTCGTTTCCGGTTAACATGCTAGGGGAAACAGTGCAAATGAAGGCAGTCTTACAATTCCCAAGAATTGGCTCCTTCAGAATTTTGCACAGGTTGCCAGACGCTGTACCGTTCTGCACCATCATTGACAGATGGAACAAGCTCGACCGTGTCTCGTTCCCCTCTGCTTGCTGATATTTTGTTTTGCCAGCGTCATGCGGTTCGGAGCCGGCCAAATCGACGAAGTTCAGCACACTTACTAGTGACTTCCCTCCCTCCAATCCATTCGCATCAATCTTCGTCGATTCCAATTTGATTTGCAAGATCGCATGTGATCTGCTTGAATGGTCATTGCACATCGTCGCTTTTATTGTGCGCTGTTCATCGCCGTCTTCCTTTGATTGTAGGAGGGCACTAGCATCGCTGACAGTTTTTTCTGTGCTCTCAATCTGTCCCAAATGAAACGATGTGGTCTTACCACCATCGAGAAGATCGCGCAACCTTTCACCATACACTTCGATGTATTTCATGCTAATATTTCGTGGCTCTCTTCCCTTTCTGCTCCTTGATGGTGAACGTCCTTCCTTACAGTTTTGGTTCAGTTTGATCTCCCAATCTGACCATCCGTCTTCCTGAGGTTGAGGTGGTCGCCCTTGCGTCTTCTTTTCGTCGTTCTCAAACTTGTAACATAGCAGTATATGATGCGGGCCCTCGCAATATGGGCAATCAGCTCTGCTACATTCTCCTACCTGGTGCTTAAGTGATTTGATCAAATGAATGGGTGGCAATAATCGTGGCCCGCCAATCTCCCATAAAATAAAACCGAAACATAAAGCTGGTTTGAAATAAAAGTGAAACAAAGAACGCATGTAAAATAAAACTGCAACATGCGCGGAGTCAAAATAAAAGTGAAACATAGCTACGTTGCTCGTTGTTTCTCTTTTATTTTCACTCTGTGCATGATTCATTTTTATTTTAAACGCCTTTATGTTTCTCTATTATGTTACCATTCAACATGTTTCTCCTTTATTTTAAAAACTGCTTATCAGTGATAACAAACTGATAAGGAATGCGAATTTCGATGTGGCGATAACACCAATAGATTGGGCACATGAAATACTGTTCTAGAATCGAGAAAAAAAAATTAACTTTTTTTTCGAATTTTGCCTGTTTCGGATCGTCTACATGGGAAGTTTGTATGAAAACCTCGGAGCACCGCTGCTATTGCATTGGCTTCTATGGCCAAATGTACACTGTCAAAACTTTTCAACATTTTTGTGTTGGTATTTCTGGTAATATACGGAATTCACGGTAATCCGTGAATTTCATAGTATATTGCCGGCAGACGTGTGCAAGGGGGGGTATTCCGGTTTTACCCCCCTCTAGGATTCCAAAATGTGGACCCCCCCCAGCGATGTTGAAAAATTTACACTAGATAGATCGATTTTCAAAAGTGAGGACCTTTTTTTAGGTCTTCACTTGTTTTTGGACACCCATTGGCAAAATGTTAGACCCCCATTGTGGAATTTTGACTGTTTTACACTAGATAGAATCGATTTTCAAAAGTGAGGACCTTTCTTTTTTTTAAGGTCTTCACTTGTTTTTGGACACCCATTGGCAAAATTTTAGACCCCCATTGTGGAATTTTGACTGTTTTACACTAGATAGAATCGATTTTCAAAAGTGAGGACCTTTTTTTTTTTTTTTTAGTCCTCACTTTTTTCGGAGACTGGTTTTACACTAGATAGAATCGATTTCCAAACCCCCCCCCCCCCTGGCAAAATCATTTTACCCCCCCCCTAGAATTTTTGACCTTGCACACGTCTGATTGCCGGATCTCCGTTAGAATACACACACAGCACGTCTGCGTTGACAGTTCAATTTTGACGGACGAAATTGTCAAACAAGCAAATCATGAATTCAAATGGAAGC